GGTGTTCCAAGCACCAGTCTGAACTCTTCCTCCTCTTCATAGATGGCATCATCTTCAAGGACCACCACACACGGCTTCTCAATCTCTCCTGCAGGAGGCAAAACACCAGGTTAGTTGACATAAATATTTTGGGTAGCACCTGCAATCTAACTCCACTTTCCAAATTAAATATATGCTGGGTTGTCTCCAATGTTGTGCAAGAAAAAGTCAGCTCACACCATAGAACATTATCTTCCCCTCTTCTGATGCTGGTGTGTGTGTGTGTGTGTGAATATTGAACATTAAGGACTACAGTAGAGGGGGAATTACCCAGAATGTAATTCACTGGCTTCACATTGCAGTCTCCCTTTGAAGATCCTTTGAACCTTAAAAAATGATTTAATAGTTGTATGTTAATTTCCCAACAACAAAACTGAGCTGAATGTTTAATCTGAAGCAAGCACAACTGAATTCAATGGGATTTATTCCCTGGTATGTGCATGTATAGGATTGCAGACTTAGCGAGGGGTTTTGTGTGTGTGTAACATGTCACTAACACAACAGCAGTGCATTAGTAGTGGATTTATATTGGGCCACATAATTTTGCTTTCCTGGTTGTTCTGTGATGCTTCCTCATTGCTGTCACATTATTGGCATCTGGAGGAGTGCTCTTGCAGTACAGCACAAAGCAGTGCAGTGCAAGACAAAGCAATAACATTTGTAGTATAGGTTGCAGTTTTTCATCAGGAAGCTACAGAACATGCACCAACTGGAACTTGAAACTTTTGCAACTGCAAATATCACTGAAAGAAGGATTTTGTCTGATTGCCCTGGTACAGATACTGTCACGAATGCACAATAAAAAAAGGAAGCCTGGAACAACCCTTAGTTGCTACAAACTTTTGTCAGTTATAAATAAAAACAAGCCCTTTCATGATAAATTTTGAAAATGCAATAGCTTCCTTGCAAGGGAAACTCTTGCTTTCTAAGGATGAGACCTTACCTGGGAGGAAGACCACTACAGAGTCATCAGTGTTTGGTCTCTCTTCATAGTCCATCATAACCTGGGCAGAGCCTTGGCGGGTGTAGCAGCGGACTGTAGATTTATGATTAACATCACCACTACGGTAAATTATAGCTGCCAGTTGCCCATCTTTTTCATTCACTGTGTACACAGGTTCCTTGAACTGGACTTTGGGTACTAGTGAGGAGGAAAGCATTCCAGCATCACAAGTTAGTCTTTTATATCTCGCTATGATCACCATATGATTCAGATTCATATGGGGCCATTTCATGGTAATTCATCACCTTTGTCTTACATTCATACTGGGAAAAAGTTAAAATGTTAAGTTCATATCAACAGTTACACAGGATTACTGATGTGCATATGCATGTGCATAACATAATTAGGTGTGTGTGTGCTGGGAGCACGAACATGGAAACCGCAGGAGTTCCTATGCATGTTTACTGGGAAGTAAGCCACACTGTGTTCAATGGGACTTAACAAATGTGTTTGGTATTGCAGCCACAAACAATTTTCCCCTTAGTGAATTTTCTAGGCAACTGAAAGGTTGTAGAATCTATAGCACTTACAATCAGTGATGGTATCATTGATGAAAATGGTGGTTTTGCTTGGTTCCCCAAGCACTGCATTCATGGGCATTCGGAGAACAAGTTCAAACTTTTCTGGTCCCTCAAGGACAGGCTGTCCTAAATCATCCAAGATGGTCACACGGAAAGTCTGCATATTTACACCAGGTACAAAATCCAGGTTTCGGCTGATGCCAACGTAATCAACTCCAGCTACATAAGAAGCAAGAGGGACTATTTAGAATCACATCCATTAAATTTTACAACTGTCTTATTAAATTAATATTTATTTTATTCATAGAATTATAGAATTGTAGAGTTGGAAGGGATCCTGAGGGCCACCTAGTCCAACTCCCTGCTTTGCAGGAACCTTAACTAAACCATGCATGACAGGGGACCACCCAACATCTGCTTAAAAAGGTACAAGGAGAGTCCATCACTTCTTGTGGATGTCTGTTCCACTGTCAAATAGCTCCTACCATCAGAAAAGTCTTCCTGATGTTTCGTTAGAATCTCCTTTCTTGTAACTTGGAAGCCATTGATTCGGGTCTTACCCTCCAGAGCTGGAGAAAACAAGCTTGCTCCATCTTACATCTTTAGTTATTTGAAGACAGCCATGATATCTCCCCAGTCTCCTCTTTCCGAGGCTAAGCATAGCCAACTCCCTCAACAGTTCTTCATAGGGCTTGGTTCTAAGTGCTCATAGACCAGCCGTTTCATTATCTGTTCTAGGACATTTCCTGGAATCAATGTTAAGCTGACTGGTCGGTCACCTGAGTCTTACCTGAGTCTTCTTTCACCCTGCTTTTGAAGATGGGGATAACATTTGCCTGCCTCCACCATTACATTTATTTTTAGTAAATCAGATTTTTGTCTTATTATTATTCTTAGGTTAGTTGGATTAAACCAATTAAATTCCTCAGTTGCACTCTAAAAATAAAAATATTAAGTTCTCTTATAGTTTTGCCCATAATTCCACACTCTGGAATCACAGTGTCTGAAGGAAATTGTGGGCAGCTATTTAATGAAAATGCATGCTGAGATTTTCCTGGGAAAATCTGCATATGTCTGAATAATGCCGACAAAGGTCCGTATAGTTAAAGCCATGGTTTTTCCAGTAGTGATGTATGGAAGTGAGAGCTGGACCATAAAGAAGGCTGATCGCCAAAGAATTGATGCTTTTGAATTGTGGTGCTGGAAGAGACTTTTGAGAGTCCCATGGACCGCAAGAAGATCAAACCTCTCCATTCTTAAGGAAATCAGTCCTGAGTGCTCACTGGAAGGACAGATCGTGAAGCTGAGGCTCCAATACTTTGGCCACCTCATGAGAAGAGAAGACTCCCTGGAAAAGACCCTGATGTTGGGAAAGATTGAGGGCACAAGGAGAAGGGGACGACAGAGGATGAGATGGTTGGACAGTGTTCTCGAAGTTACAAACATGAGTCTGACCAAACTGCGGGAGGCAGTGGAAGACAGGAGTGCCTGGCGTGCTCTGGTCCATGGGGTCACGAAGACTCGGTCACGACTAAACAACTAAACCACAACAAATTTAATGAAAATGTGTGCTGAGATTTTCCTGGGGAAATCTGCATATGTCTGAATAATGCACAATGCAAACGTATCTGGACTTAAAGATGGCATCTGCACAGGGCAGAGATCAGTGTTGAGATACAGCACATTAGTAATGCCTCTTGGAAAAATTACTTCACCTTCTGCAGATAATGGCTCTGTTTTCCTGGAGCGCACAGTGACAGTGGCTGCTTTAGACAGGTCAGTTCCAGTTCTCCAAACACGAACTTCGATGTGGCCAGCACTCTCAGCCACATGATATTCTGTGTCACCAAAGTAAAAAGCAGGTTCTAGAAGCAGAACATAAAAAGGAGAAAAGAGGTAAGAGCTCATCAATTTCCCAAAAGACAGTGATCAGGTAACAAACCTGTAACTTGCAAACAAATGAATCAACAGGGCAATCCTTTTAGGGAAATCTCTTGTAAGTAAAATGAGTTAGAACTAAACAACCAAAGGAACAAAATGATTTTTTTAAAAATGATTTTTGGCAGTTAACAAAAATTGTTGCCAAAATAGAGTCCTTTATTTACTATACACATGGTATTATTCTTCATTCCTCAAAGTGAAAGACTTGCCTTTTATCAGGGTGAATCCCAAAAGTTACAAATCAGGTCAGGGAAAAGGCCAGAGTGAAAATGGGCTTAAGTAGTCACCCCATTGTTTAGTGTAAGAGATCAAACATCACAAGACTGACTGAAACTAGCCCTAATTTAGCAGCTCAGCACATTAATTAGCTGGGCAGGTGGATGGGGAATGTCTTCGTTTCCAATTAAAAGCAATTTCATTATACTTTGTCTAACACAGTGAATATAGCAGCCTTTGGACTTAGTTTTTAAATTGATATTCTGCTTAGTTCCAATGCGGTCCTCAAGGCAGCTCCTCTATCTTCATACAGACAACAATTGTGTCAGTCCTGCTTGAGGATGCTTACTTTGGTTTTCCTAGCCTGAAGCACTCTAAAAACCTTTAAAATTGATTTAACTGGTGATCGGGTATTTAAAAAGGAAGTATATATTTTGTAGGCAACAACAGCTCTGAAGTACTGGCCCAGTCACCCACAGAGAGTGTGTCTGGAAACAGTACTCTCTGTAAAGTCATACATTCACTTTTCATCTCACTCTGCTATGATTGCCTGGCTCGCACCTCAATATTTAGGCACATTTATGTACAAAGAGGGGATATATCCAGGGGTGGCAGCAGGGGAGACAAGACTGTGGACAAACCCACAGATACTGGATAACTGCAGGAGATGGAACGTCTCTTAGCCTAACCGTTTGCACAACACAGCACTTCGCCATAGGCAGCTGGTTCAGCTGTAAGCTGACCACCCAGGAGGCAATAATGGCAAAGAATGCCAAGCCAGCTCCTCACCAATTGGAGTTCGCTTGTCAGTAGATACTTAAATAAAACATGGGGAGGGGACACTTTCTCCAAACTTAGGGTGCTTCTTGACAGGAGATGAATATTACAAATGGGAGATATCACCAATTATAACAGGCGACAGGCTTACTTTAAACTTAATTGGATTTTCAGAAGAAAGCATAAATCTGGATTAAATGGGGGTGGGAATACAGGCTAGCACTTTGCTGCTGATTTTGTGCGTATGATGATAAAAAACACAGCTCTAATCCCACAATAAACATACGTCTGGAAGCACACATAGTTAAATGTTTATAAACCTGATTCCATGGTTGATGCTTATACTCTTTACAGATCCAATAGATGCTCTTCCAGGCACAGTGATAAAATTGGCTAGGTGGTAACAGCTGCCCAGACTAGAACCAGCAGCTTTCATAGAATCAAAGAGCTAGAAGGGACCCTGAGGGCCCTTTGATCCAACCCCCTGCAATGCAGGTATCTTTTGCCCAACACGGGGTTCAAACCCACCACCCTGAGATTGAGAGCCTCATGCTCTACCAAGTGAGCTATCCACAGGGCTCTGTGCAGATGCCCCGTGTAGTGAGCTGTCAGGTCCAGGACCTGAGTAACTTGACCCCACCCATCCAAGCTCAACATTGCACTCTCTTTGTTTGGACAGGGACCTTCCCTGAGCATCAAGGTCTTCCTGGCGTCTCCCACCAAACCCTGCATTCCTTGTCTCTGACTGCTGGCATTGTTCCTGAGATCCAATTCCTAGCTTGGTCGCTCAGGTCTGACATCGGTCAGTTCTTGGCTTCTGGATCACCTCTGACAACTACCGTATTTTTTGCTCTATAAGACTCACTCCCCCCCCCCCAAAAAAGTAAGGGGGAATGTGTGTGCTTCTTATGGAGCGAATGCAGGCTGCGCAGCTATCCCAGAAGCCAAAACAGCAAGAGGGATTGCTGCTTTCACTGCGCAGTGATCCCTCTTGCTGTTCTGGCTTCTGAGATTCAGAATATTTTTTTTCTTGTTTTCCTCCTCTGAAAAGTAGGTGCATCTTGTGGTCTGGTGCGTCATATAGAGCGAAAAATACGGTACTTTCAGCTCAGCCTTGACCCAATGCATAATATGAGACAATCCAGTTCTCTCACAAAGTGTATAAAGAAAATATTGCTTACATCCCATCAGATCAATATGTCACATTGTGAAGATGGAAAGGGAAATACCTAAACTCTAATTGCAGACCTTACCTTATCAGCACACATAAGTTTGCTGGTGGAATATAATACAGTCCCTGCCCAACAACGCTATGATTAGTGGTGCTAACACATTCAGAATATTAGTGCCAATTTGGGTGAGAAAAATACTACCAATTTGCCTCACTGGATATTTTGCCTATCTCCAAGTGAGCTGTCTGCAATACTTAGCTTTCTGTGATTTAGCAAACCGAACAAGGGACAAAATAAGAAATCAGAGGCAAAGGAATTGCTAGTTTCAAACACTGATAAGCAGCTTCAAACCATGTTGCAAATTGCAATGAACAGCTGTTGGTATATAAATGTCTGTGTTTCTGTTGCTATGCACATATGCCGTGAGATATTTATGTTGCACATATTTTCATTTGTGCAGCCCTCGGCAATTAAGATCCATGCCATAAATATGTTTCAGAATAAATATGTTTATATAAATATTTGTGGGCACAGGGCCAGATCCTGATCTCACTCTCAGATCATTCTCCCAAATGGCAACTCCCTCCCAGCATTTGCATTAGTGTAACTGTAACGAAGCACCTGCACATAATATCTAAAGCTTATGAGTACAATCCCCTATTTTCAACTCCCACCCCCTGTGGTGTGCCAATCACGAGAGCCCAAGCCATAATAGGATATAGCAGAAGAAGCACAAAATCATAGAAATGTAGAGTTTGAAGGGACCCTGAGGGCCACGCAAGTCTAACTTCCTGCAATGTAGGAATCTCAATTAGATCATACATGACAGATGACCAGCCAACCTTGCAAGTGTGGTCAAGACATCATGATGCCGGGGAAAACCCCCCGTTTCTTTTGTTTTGTATATACTGTATGTCCACCACAGCACTGCCACTGGTGCAACTTCTATTCCTTTTAGTGGGGCTGTCCTGGGACGCCCACTGTAAGCACCACTAGAAAACAATGGCGGCTCAATAGTAACAGTTCCTGTTGCTTAATGAATTAAGCACAAAGTGTGCATGCCTCAGTGTACAGTTTGTGCACAGAAACTAAAAAGAGCAGCGCAGGAGCAATTATATAGCATCCTCAACATTTTAATTAAATACAGTTACTCTTCCCATTCATACAAAAATTAATTAGGAGACTACTAAACAGACATGACTGGAGGCCTTCAGAACATGACCCTAGTCACGCCTCAGTTATTACAGGGATTTAATCACTTGTCTCTGAAATATAATCCACTCTTGCTAGATGGACCTAAACACACTGCCAGCAAGCTTTGAGGCGGAACCCACTAATAACTGGAAGAGAACAGAGGCCTATCTAACATATCTCCTCTTCTCTCTTGGCAAGACAGCAACCCTTGTAGCTAGAGCTACACCCCAGTCAGAAAAGAAAATAGGTGCTTTTCTTGTTCTTCATTTTCCATCTCTACCAAGCAAAGCCAATAATGCAAAATAAATAAAGCCAGGAAATTTTTACAATAAGGTAGTCCAGTAACAATGAAGTCAATTTTCTTATGGCAGTGAAATATTCCACATGAACTTATTCTGCCTATGGTATCTCTAGAACAATCTTTCAAAGACAGGCCACAGCAAATAGGATAAATAATAAGAGCCTTTAAAGACTTTTCTTGCTCAACGATTTCCTTAAGTAGGTGGCCAGATTGTGAAACAATTGCCACTAATGCCTTAAATAAGCACACATCCAATAGTAGAAATGGTGTCAGAAGGAGCAGAGAACAACAGACTGAGGTTGCTTTTGTAATTTAGCACTCTTCTCTTCTCCTCTGCCTCTAGCAAAGCTTGGGACTCTGCTGTACAGCTACAAATGAAACATTTTAAGTGTGTTGCAAAGTGCATTATAGTATAATGATTATACAAATGTGACTCTAGATGGGGATGGTGAGCTATGACAAATTGAATATATTTTTCAAAACTTTTTTCAAAACTTATTTTTATTTTTTAAATCACAGCGTTTTTTATATGTTTCTAGATTCCACCTTGGTCAGAAGGGAACACTTTTACAGAATCATAAACATTAACCCTATGCAAGATTTGATACTGCTTATATGCATATATAAATATACAATGTTCCATTTTAATTTTAAAAACAAGCTATTTTAAACACATTTTCAAACATTTCTTTATAAGGAAATTTATCAGCAGATAACGTTTGTAAATTAAAAAGAAAAAAAACTGAAAAAGTTACACTGCTCTGAAATATGTGAGCTAATGAAGCAGCAACTATAACAAAGAAGGTAATGCCTTTCCCCTAAAATCCTTTTATTTACTTAGCATCATCCACAAATACATACAGTTTCTTAAGCTAACTCAACACTTTTTTTTTATGGCAGTGAAATCTTTTGAGCCAACAGTTAATTTAAAATCTATTTCTGTTTTCCTCAAAGAAAACTTTACTGTGTTTACTCAGGCTATCTGGATAACCTTGTTGTTCCCTTGATTATTTAAAAACATAAGCACTGGACCCAAAACCTGTTCTACCTGCCATGCCACTTAAACATTCCTGTAGTAGAGAACCACGGTAAGATTTCCGCTTCCTTATAAAATCACAAGTTGTTTGCATCTCTGTCTTCAAAGCTCATTACCGTACAACTGGATCCTTTGTTCAGCTACACATGATCAGAAGGCATGCTTCTGAAGAACAAGAAAATAACACAGAACCCACAGTTTACTACTAGTGTATGATCAAGGGCTTGCTGCAAATGCCATATTATTGAGCCGTATCTGGAAAACCAAGATCAAAGGATTGGCTTTTTGTCTTGACTACCTGTTTATGAAGCTTTTTTAAAAAAGGGGTCATCAACAGCTTGCACCTGTGATGTTACAGATCAACAGGTCACTGATTACCTTTTGAAATTCAATTTAAGCATTTCCTTTATCAAGCACATGTCTTACTTAAAAGAATTTAATGCAGAACATACATGAATATACTGACAGAACCTTTGGTTTGCTGTCCTTGCAGTAGCATGAATCTGCATCACCAATACGCAGAACTCCAGTTGGATCAAGTATTTATACAGGTATACCTCATTTTACTTCACACCACTTTACTGCTCTTCAAAAATATTGCGGGGTTGTTTTGGTTTTTTTTAAAAAAAAACAAATTGAAGGACTTGGAGAGAAGGATGCAGGAGCCTGTCCTTGCTGCAAAGCAACTCCTGCTGCACCTTACAAGGACATGGGTGCAGCTGCAGGCAAGACCCTGCATCAGAAAAAAGATTTTAACTTGCTGAAGGCTCAGGTGATGGTTAGCATTTTTTAGCATTAAAGTATTTTTTAAATTAAGGCATGCACATTGTTTTTGTAAAACGTAATGCTATTGCACATTTAATAGACCACAGTATAATGTAAACATAACTTTGATATGCAATGGGAAACAAACAAACAAAAATGTGTTACTCACTTTATTGCATTATTTGCTTTATTGCGGTGGCATGAAGTGAACTCACAATATATCTGAGGTATGCCTGTATTGACTTTAGCCTAGACACCTGTAGCTTACTCTACTTTCTGGCCCCATCAACCGTTCATCAGGGACGAATGGAGACCCCTTGCATGCAGCCCATACAATTGATACTCATGGTTTCCTGACCAGTTTTTTAGGCTCTTGTCCTGCAATATACCCATTAGGCTGGGGGGGGGGGAGGAGAGAAGCTAAATGGTGCATATTGTACAAAGGAATAAAACTGGCTGTGTGCTTTCCCCTCCTGCAGGTCAAGCCCAGATTTCCATCACCTTTGAAAGTGGGGTGCAATGAATCATGATTCAGCAGCCTGTTTTGATCATTCTTGATACTTTAGAAATGTTTAGAAAACATTGCACGTGCATTCATAAAATCAAATGTATATTCATGACTTTAAAAAAACAAAAAAAGGAGTAACAACTGTAATATGTTTGTAATATCACTGATTTCCTGTCAACCTTCACAATGCAGAGCCAGTTTCTGCTGTGAACACACAAAAGTGGCTTCCCCTGAGATCTGTCCAGGAGAGCAGGTTAGCAGCACATCACTCCCAGAGTCCCGGAATCCAGGTCCTTCCTCAGTCTAATGCCCCACAGTGTGCATTGCTGCACATTGTCAAAATGAAATACAACATCAAAACTCAAAGAAACTAGGTCTTAAAAGAGTGCTCCCTAACTTAAAAAAACCAATGCCATGCTATATATACCAATAGCAAACACATTCTCCAAGTGTGAGTCTTCATGCAGCTCAAACATCATCACCCACATGCAAGAGGAAGGTATCATGAGGGTCTACAGTTTGAAGAAATACAAAAGAATTGTTTGAACAAAAACCCTAAATGGGTGGTTGGAGATTGCAGCTTATTCCTCACAGGGCGTCAGT